GGTGTCAAATAGCCAGTCAACAGTCAAAACAATGCGAAAAAGATAAGTGCGAAAAAGAACAAGATAAGTATTGTAACTACAAGAGAGTGAAATTAAATTCGAAAGAGAATTGTCTCAATATAATGACTAGATATGTTCTTATTATTAAAAATTTATATATATCTAATAATAACATTGTATTAATAAATTGATAAATTAATAAAATTTTATATACATAATTTATCAATTTATAAATGCAATAGTATTATTAGTTATGTGTGTGTGTGAGTGTTATAACTAATACCATTATATTAGTAAATTAATAAAATTTAAGTATAGTAGTTTATTATTTTATTAATATAATGGTATTAGTTATATATAAACTTTGTAATAATAAAAGCATATCTGTGTACATTAAAATGATTCTATTCGTTATGTTAAAAAAAGAGAATTAGAGTAAATTAGAATTACTTACAATATTGACGGCGGACGTATTAACGGACATTCGAATTGTCCTAACCTTCGAAATGTCAATATTCGGAGGCGATGTTTGCAGAATCATCCTCTCCTCCTCCTCTTCCTCCTCTAACGTGTTGTTTCGCGGTCCCGGTGGAGAATTTACGGCGTTTTCTAGAATACCAAAGTCCTCGTCGAGCGCTGCTACGGCTATGTTCAACGCATCCTGCCACTCATTTTTATCTAGGTAGAGCATCTCCTCCACAATTCTCTGCACTTCTTGGTCACTTTCGCACTACATAGTTATCACTCACTGATGTAACGTTGCGAATTAATGCAGTTTTTATTTGCTTCCGCAAACATTGAGCTCGCAGCGGTCATTGGTTAACAACTTTGAGGAAGGAGGATACGTATAATTAATGGTGGGAGTAGCGAAGATTAGTGTGGAGTAGATTCGCCACTTGGTATTAATATACGATCAAGATCGCCCATGCGCTTTTTTTTCCTTGCAATTATCAAGCAGTGATCTGCCCATTTCAGGGCCACTTCCTCTTCTCCATGTTTAAAACTCCTTCGTAATAATAATTATTAATAAATTTGACCAACCTAATATATTAATTATGAAACAGCACTTTTCAATGTTATATATTATAACGTATAAACAAAAAAAAAGATAATTATTAATAAACAGTAATCTTGCGATTTATTTATCTCTATTATATTTCTTTTCGGTGGAAGCAACAAGTAAGTATAAAGTAGGTATCTTTTCAGTTATATTCATTATATTAAAGACAATTGATAATAATTGATAAATTTTTCCTAAATCATAAAAATAATATATATAGTTAGTACGCACTATCTTTAGAAAGAGCGACAATGGCTCAGACGGTAGAGCACTGTCGTATAGATTCAAAGAAGGCTAGGTTTGATTCTCATATATCTATTTTGTTTTCTTGTTCTTATATGAATTTTAACGATAAGTCACATCTTTTTTACTGAAAGATTATTATGAGAAAAAATACGATAAATAATGTTACTAATTTTTTTCTTATAGAGAATTAGATATAGACAATTAATTATTTATATGTACATATGTCAACAATTAAATTTAACAGAAAGGACAGGTAATTTCTTCTTAATTAAAATAGTTGAAATATCGTTATTAAAAAACAACAACAATAAAAAAAATGTCTCTAAAATCAGTACGCATATGTGATAGTTTTAAATGACGTCGCTCGTATAGACCGTTGAGTCAATTTTCCACGAGTTGTATGCTTTACATACGCATACATACGTGCGGGCGCACGTGTATGTATAATTCATAACAAATTAAATGAATTTTTAAGGAATGTCTGGAATGTATGGAATGAACGGAATGTATGGCACGTATGGCATGTAAGGAAAATCTTTTAATGGAGGATGGCGGGGGGGGGGGGATCTCAATCGTCCGCTATAAAAATGAGCTGCATCTCATCAGCAGTCGCATTCGCATCGAGTGAACTAGTGTAAAGTGTGAAAGAAAAAAAGGTGATACGAACATTCTACAATGAGCTCCATCAAGATTGACTATAGGTAATTATTTGTTTTATTGTTTATAGAACACACTTTATATTTTTTCCATATTTTTTAAAATTTTTTTTTATTTGTACAAGCGAGGCAGGGTAGCTTCACGTCTCTATTATCACGTCTTTATATTTTTTTCAATATTTTTTTTTAATTTTTTTTTATTTGTGCAAGCGAGGCTGGATAGCTTCACGTCTCAATGGACATGCACACACGTACGACCAGCAGAGCTTGCTGCGGCCGGCTTTTATTATACGGGGCAGATCGATCGAATGCGCTGTTTTGAATGTGGTATGAAAGTCTGTCGTTGGGAAGAAAGTGACGATCCTATGACGGAACATAAGCGCTGGGATGGCGGCTGCCTTTTCATTCGTAACAGATGTTGCGGCAATGTGCCGATCGGATCGAGCCCCGTACCGGTACCTTCTTGGAAAAGTAGAGATGTTAGAGATATGCTGTATTAGGCTCGCCACTTCTAGTGCATGTCTATCTTTATCGGATTATGTTAAATTATTACATATGCTGATGGATCACTGAGTAAGTCTCTTATTTTAGCATGGTAATCCAATTTCCAAATACTCTTTTATTTTCCTTATCTACATTTGTAAACATAATTTCTGGGTTGTCTCTGATGAATTATTTTGTTAGTTTTATACCTTGGTTTTTATGGTTTCCGTAATGATTTTCCTTTGTTTTTTATTTATATTAGACCTTCAATAGTTAATAATTATTACACGATTGTCTCTTTTTTATATTAGAATCTATATCCATGAAATTTAGCGAAATCTCCAAATTTTTTATTCTTTGAACAGTATCTTCACATTTAAACACCATGTACACTAAGCTTCCAGCTTAATGTTATGATTTCTTATATTTCATGTAGAATGTTGATATTTATTAAATTTTCAAACCATCTTTCGTTAACATTTATATCGTTTATTCATTGTCGTTTTTTGTGATTCCACTAATTTCAAAAACCTTTTTTTTAGAAATTTTCAAAATCTCAATTCACACATTCATATTCCTTATAATATAAGGACAAGATTATTACAAGATGTCTGAAATTTACAGTATTTATTGCAACGGTAGTCGATTCAATTAATCGAACCGTTCGCGATTCTGATTTTCGCGCGTTAGTTCTAAGAATTCAGAGAGAGAGGGGGCGCGCGATCTTTCAAATTAGTAGTTACGTCTCAGCTGTTGTGACAAGTAGATATCGCCGAAGTTATTTGCACTGTTTTTTCTCGCCGAGTAATAGTTACTGGTCCATAATAATTACGCGCGTGAGTGTAACAACGAGACCTACAGATTGCAGCATTTTGGTAGCAGCAGATTTGCAGCTGATAGGTGGTACGAGGCAGCACAGCTGATAACCTAGGACCGGAGGCAGTTGATATTTTGCTGACATCAACAATTACGGCTGATCACCGTAATTGCACCGCAGGGTAGGTGCACCTCCCTTTATTATCGCGTGTCAAAATATATTTATTATTTTGCTCAGCCGCGTTAGCGTTGATAATTTTGTATTCGCGCCGAGCGTTAGATCGCGCCAATTTTCGTATCTTCTCTCTCTCTCTCTCTCTCTTTCTCACCGAAAGTTATTTAATTGTAAATCCTGTTCGCGTGCGTCAGTCTTTCGGCCCGACAAAGACTGTAGTAATTTTTTATTAATAAAATCTACTAAAATTATTCGCTGATTTCGTCATATGATTTCTCCCAATAGTTTAAACAATTGAAATAGGCTTAAGTTTTAATCCGATCATAGCTAGGGGATTAAGTGTATTAGGAGCAAAGTCGATTACACTTGAAACTCATCGTGTGTCACAAGGCACGTGACTTAAGGTGAGTTCAACTCTGCTTGATCGAAGACAACCAAGTTAAGTCAGCTGACGTTAAGGCGAATACACGTACTAACATACGTGTTAACGGAGCGGCGGTTTGCTCTGCATCGTGGGAGTTTGCTCTTAAATAAATTTCTCATTTTGCAGGTTTAACCCCCCGTTACATTATATAATATTCTATGAATATTAAAAACAAGGATTTGATGTTAATTATACATATGGAAAAACTCAATTATTAATTTGATTGGATTTGCACCAGTATTCTAGATATTTAGCTTGACTGAATGATATATTTGGTCTCAGAAATGCTATATATTAAAAGTTTTTGTTAAAACCATCCATTGTATATGCATTTCTCTTCATGTTTTTAATAAAATTAAAAATATTATGATCAAACGAGAGAGAAGTAAGAATAAAATAATCTTTCTTTCAGTCATTAAATTTAATCAACATTGTTTCGTCACCTATTTTGCTTACCTCATCAGACTGTTCGCTTGAAAATTAAAGATATGTGTAAACTATAGTATGTAACTCATTGCTAGTCCATCTATCAAATTTTCGTTACAACATTAATGATAAAGTGTATACTACAGAACTAGGTACCATAAACAATCCCTTTACAGTCGTACTATGGATTAAAGATCGGGCACAAGGTATATCAGATCAAATAGTGAGACTGGTCTTATCATTATTAGTAATTGTTAGAACAAACATACAATATAACCATAAAAATTTTAGGCTGCTATTTTATAAGTTGTATTGAAAATGTATTCGTATGTTGTCGTTGGTTTTTTTATCTTGTAGTATTTTCAGTGTGTTTTCACAATAAAGTTTTTGAAGAGGTAAACAAATTTTGTATAGAAACGTTAGAAAGATGTTTCCTTGCTGTATTTTCTACACCAATTAAGCATTGCTTCAACTACAATGGCAGGCAAGAACAGCGATCTAAGAAAATTCAAGATTTTCATTAAATTATTTAAAAACCTTTGCCACAAGACGTTCTTATGTAAATTATAAATTACGTAATTTTTTATTTTTCCAATCTAGTGTAAAATAGTGTCAGAATTATTAAACTAGTTATTTGATTGATTAGAATATTATCAATCACAATATTCACAATGAAACTTGTCTACTGAGTATTAATTAAAATTATGAACATACCTTTGGTTGAATTGACCAGGATTGCTTGAAGTACGAAAAATAGCAGACATACTGTCGATATGATTTATATTTCCGAGTGTTGAAGCATTTCTTCTTATGTATTCCATGGCATCTTTCATTGTTAATTTTGAATAAGTTTCCAATATTTTTGGTTCAGCTCCGTAATAATTTCTCACCACATAAGGTCGAATGTACTGATTGTCAAAACGTTTGAATCTAAATATCGTATTATATTAGATAAAAAATTGCAAATTCACTTTCATTTCATTAATATTTGATATTTACTTATCGCGAACATGATAATTTCCATGCTTTCCTAGAATATCTTCAACTCCAGCCATAATGTGATCAATAATCTGAAAACATTATATAATAAATATAATATTGAAATTTTTAACAAAATAATTCTTTGTAAAATTATCTAAAAATCGGGTTATGGCACAGATTTTCTAAAATAACCTAAAAAGCCATTTTTTTTACTTTTTTCGAATTAATATTGAAGATTAGACAAAAATTTTATTTTTCAAAAACCAATGAATAGGTTTTGTAGGAAATTTCTTTTAGTTTCTAGAACTGCTCATTCATTTGCTGTACGATTATTGGTTGAAGAGATATTGGCTGTTGAATGAAAAACGACCATTTTTCATTCATTATTCGATATCTTAGTGTTAAATGAACATAGAAGGATGAAAGAAAGCCGAAGTTGATTAAATAACCTAATTAAAATTTAAGTTCATTTTAATGAAAAAAAAGTTTTAAAGTTTCTGGACTCAAAGAAAAAGCTTTGCAAAGATTTTTTTTCATTTCGATGCGATTATTTTTCATAAAAATACAGCGCTTCAAACATGGCCAACAAATTTGGAAATCTTGTCTGTTCCCTTAATTTTTTCGAATATTGTATTAGTAGACTATAAAACCTCTCAAATAAACTTATCAGTAATTTTCTCAAGACAATTATCACAAACAGCAAACTAAAAAAAAAAAAAAAATAACACAGGCCAACAAAATTTTGACAAAGGTTCAGAACCAGAGACCAGACATAATATATTCGAAGGATTTTGATGCGCTGAATCCAAATCCAAGCTCAGAATTGCACCAGCACGTCAGGATTTTGAGATATCCTTACCTAAAAGTGCGAAAATCAAGTATTTTCGCTATATTCGGTACTTTATAACATTGCGAATAAATTTTTTCATGCAAAACTGACAACGGCATCTGAAAGAGCAACTCATGGCCTACAAAATGCACTACCGATTTTTGTTTTTATGTCTTTTGGTAATGTAAATATCGTCGTTTGAAATTTAACACCTACGAATTTGTTTATACTGCAACACACCAGAACGAGTGACCAGACATAGTACACCCGAAGGATTTTGGTGCGCTGAATCCAAATCCGAGCTCAGAATTGCGCTAGTACGGCAGGATTTTGAGATATCCTAACCTAAAAGTGCGAAAATCAAGTTTTTTGGCTATATACGGTACCTTATAACATTGCGAATATTTTTTTTCGTGCAAAATTGACAACGGCATCTAAAAAGCAATTCTTATCGTACAAAAGCACTAAAAATTTTTAGTTTATGTCTTCTTTTATCGTCAATTGAAATGTACTACTTATCAATTGGTTTATACGGCAACGCAATGAATTTCGACTATTATAAATCAAATCCCTGATCTTGGAGCATTGTAACCTGCGGGGCAATAAACCTTGCCCACTTAACCCTAAATCCCTTAACCCCCGAGCCCTGTGACCTTCGATGCAATAATTCCCGTCCCTTTAACCCCAAATATTTTAACCCAAGAAGGTTATAACAAGCGCGGCAATAAAACCTGTCAACTTAACCCAGAATTTCTTCACCTCGGAATCCTGTAACCTGCGATACAATAGCCCCAGATTCCTTGTGGCGCAAATTACTGAGCTCAGGCATTAAGGGATTTGTGTAATGGCATTGAGGGTTATAACATCACAGGTTTCAGGGATACAGGGTTAACGGATTTAAGGTTAAGGGGGTAGTTAAAGGTTAAGGGGTCGGGGGTTTTTGGGTTAATGGATTTAGGGTTATGACCACGCAGATTATAGCCTTCTAGAATATCTCGGAATACTGACGTGCTGGCGCAATTCTAAGCTGGGATTTGGATTTAGCGCATCGAAATTCTTCGGGTGCGTTATGTATAGTTTTTGGTTCTGAAATTTGTCGGCCTGTGACAGACAGACAAATATTAGAATTAAAAATTTAAATAATTTGTTTAAATAAATTTAAATGTACAAATCTGACATCAAACTTGTGACTAGTAACCCTCAAAACCATGGAAATGTGGTGCATCTTGCAAAAATATTCTATTATACAGGAATTTGTTTAAAGAAATTTTTTAAATAAAATACATATTGCAAATCTGATATCAGATTCATAACCAGAGACATCAAAAATCAGCAAAAGTACGTGCAACTTGCAAAAACATCGAGTCTTGCAACATTTGTTTAAATAAATTGTTTAAATAAATCTAAATTCACATTTCGGACATCAAACTCGTAATCAGTGACCCCTAAAACCATGGAAATGAGGTGCAACTTGCAAAAATATTCAATTGTGCAAAAATTTGTTTAAACAAATTGTTTGAATAAAATAAGTTTTGAAAATCTGATATCCGATACGATCAGCGGAATCAAAAACCGTGAAATCTTTCATTCGTTTTTGAAATTCTGTAGATAGATGATGTAGAATATTACGTAACTTAAAATGTATGATTGTATGCTGAAGCTGAGATAGGAGAAAGCTGAGATAACTGATTTTGTGACATGCTAATCCTTCCGTGTTAGAGATCACGTTTGAGTGGCGGGCTAACGGTTGAATTTCCTGTAAATGCTATTATCTTATTTTCTTCTACTTCCAAAATGAGTTCCAGAAGCCCTTGTGCAAGAAAAATTGATACATTTTGTTTGTGGGAAGTTTCAAACAACTTCTTATCGACGATCGATTAATGATTCAATCAAAACTCTATATATGAAATGTTATAAGGTTCCGATCGACAATTTAGATAAGACGTGGGTACCATCTTCAATTTGTAATTCTTGCAGACTTGCTATGTTGAAGTGGGATGATAATAGCAGCAATATCACTGTTATTGAACCGATGATCTGGCGTGAGCCCAAGGACCATGAAGCTGATTGTTACTTCTGCTTATGTAATACAACGGAGTTCAATAAACAAAATTCAAATAAAATCATCTACCCTGCGGTAGCGAGTGTAACACCAGCCAAAGTAGGAAAAGTAAGTAAACCCGGAAAAGAAATTGGTTCGGCAAAAGTTGAACCGATGGATATTGATACAACTGAAGATGTCTCTTTTGAAGATAGTTCTGATGACGAGAGTCCTAAGCTTTTTTATCAAAGTTTGTTAGATGATTTTATTCGAGACCTCAATCTTCCAACGGAGAAAGCTGAACTCTGTGCTTCAAGACTCCAAGAAAGGAAGCTATTATTACCTGGAACAAAAGTGTCAATTTACAGAAACCGAGAAGAGGCGTTCATAAAGTACTTCACAATGGAGGATGTGATAGTGTACTGTAATAACATCGAAGAATTGGTTAACTTGTATATCCAAGATTTGTACAAGCCAGAAAACTAGCGTCTCTTCATTGATTCTTCCACACAAAGTCTCAAAGCTGTGTTACTACACAACGGAAATAAATATGCGGCACTTCCTGTAGGTCACTCAACTGCACTAAAAGAATTATACAATAGTTTTCAATTTCTACTGGAAAAAATAAATTACAAGACTCACAATTAGCTTGTTTGTGGTGACTTTAAGATGATAAATCTTATAGTTGGCTTGCAGGTGGGAAATACCAAATATCCGTGTTTCCTCTGCCTTTGGGACAGCCGTGCAAGAGACAAGCATTGGGAAACAAAAAAATGGCCCACAAGATCAGAATGGAAAATAGGTTCTCACAATGTCGCCTACGTAGATCTTGTTGATAGAGAGAGAGTATTACTGCCACCACTTCACATCAAATTAGGTTTAATGAAACAGTTTGTGAAAGCCTTGAATAAAGAAGGTAAATGTTTCAATCATTTAAAAGCTACATTTCCGAAATTGAGTGATGCAAAAATTAAGGACGGCATTTTGGTTGGGCCTGATATACGAAAACTCATGAAAGATGATACATTTATCGAAACCATGACTCTCGTTGAAAAGAATGCTTGGTTGAGCTTCAAAGATGTTACAGAAAAATTTTTAGGCAATAATCGAGACCCGCAGTTTGAAACTATTGTGTCCAACATGTTACAGAATTTCCGAAAAATGGGTTGTCTAATGAGCCTTAAAATACACTTCCTTCATTCTCATTTGGACTATTTCCCAGAAAATCTTGGAGCATATAGTGAGGAGATGGGTGAACGATTTCACCAAGACTTTAAACAAAAGGAACAACACTACCAAGGAAGGTGGGACGAAAAAATGATGGCCGACTACAGCTGGTCATTGAAAAGGGATGATAATAACTCTACTAGTCACAAACGTAAATCTCTTCAACGATCCTTAGAAATGAAGCACCAACGTTTTCACAAAAAGAAAGCATAACATCACAGAATTGGCGGTTATAGGTTTAAGAATATACATTCTAAAGATTGTCAGCTTCTTAGTGTAACCTCTCTAACTACATTGGAGCTTAGGTTGAAATGCTATGGATTACAGTCCACTTAAATTAATTTGTCCTGTGCTTGACCCTCACTGTTCACTGCATTTAGTTTAACCTGTTGTGAGTTTAGGGCTCGCAGATCACAGCGAACGTAAGTTCACTTGTAGTGGTCTAGAGCTCGAAGGTTACTGCGCATATAGGTTATACTATCGTGGATTCTAGTTTGCAAGTTATATCGTACTCTATATACCTGTTGCGGATTATAGCGCGCTTAAATTAACCTGTAGCAGGTTATAGCGAATTTAGGTTAACTTACCGTGATTTTGAGCTTGCAGGTTATAGCGCACTTAAGTTAATCTGTCGCTGGTTCTAGAGTTATAGGATTTTCAGTGCATTTAGGTTATAACCATCTGCCTTAACCTGCCCTAAATTTATAGCTGCCATTTTAGAGTGCATCTAATAAATTCAGCTAGATTCGCCGTAAATTAGTACAATGGTACACCTTTATATGCCAGTGTTTGGATCGCGATATTGTGCGGTACCCTTATAATTAAATATTCTACAATCAAACCACGGAAGGACCGAAGTACCCGTGAAGCTTGGAAACTGCTCAAGTCCCAGGTCGCTCGGCTGTCAAAAAGGCCTACACTTTACGGGGCAAATTCGCTTCACGCGAATTAGCACCTATCACTGTACTATTCTTATCAAATCTCTATTTGAA